AAACAAATTCTACTAATTATATATTAACCTTTATCACTAAATGTTTATCATTTATGAAGACATTTAGTCGCTTTTAGTATGTGTTTTCTCAATTTCATAATTTTTTCATGTGTAGGGGTCAGTAAGATTTATTTATAGATTTTCTAGATTTATTAAAATATTTATTCAGCAAAGGAATACAACAGTAAAGACATTTATAATTTTAAAACGGATTTATATTTCAAACAAATGCTTTTCCTTTAAACTTTATGTTCATAAAAATAATAAAAATAATAATAACAATAAAATAATAAAAAAGTATCACTCCACAAAAATATAGGCAGCACAGCATTGATGATAATAAGAACTGTTTCTTGAGCAGCAAATCAGCATATTAAAATGATTATGAAGGATCATGTGACACTCAAGACAGAAAATTCACAGGAATGACATTTTCTAATTTATATATAAAAAAATAAGTTATTTTAAATTGTAATATTTCACAATATCAGTGTATTTTGAACAAATAAATGCAGCTTTGCTGAGCGTAAGATACTTTTTTCAAGTTCGGTTAAATGTATTTTAACGGTTTTAACAGACTCTATGGAAACATTATGCAATTTCCTTTCTTTTATTTCTATGCAACCAGAGCCTCTCTGATGGTGTGCAACCTAAACTGCATATATAATTTCAAGGAAAGCTTCAGAAACACTGGGATGCTGTTGTGCTGATGTCTCTATGTTGTACCAGGCTGCTTAACCAACTAGCATAAAGAACAGTACTGCATGGTCAACTAGCTTTACTGTTAAACTGAATCTAGTCCATCTGCAGCACCAAACCATCACAATCCTACCTGGACCAGTTAGCTGACTTTTTCAGCATGGCAGCTGAACATTAAGACATGTTGTGTACCTCCACACTGTTTATTGCTATAGTAACCAAAATAATATCATAAGTTTAGAAGAGGGAACAGACTCTGTATTCACAGGACTGGAAGCAATGACACAGTGTGACCCGAGAGGAATTTCATTTCGTGGGATGTGATTGTATTAGCTGCATGAAGGCTGCGTAGGCAACGCTAGAGCTGGTAAGGATGTCAATTACACAAAATACTGACCTCACGCTTTTCAGCATGCACCATTTATTACAGTAGTCAAGCCCAGAATGTAGTCTATAATCACAGAGAAGACCTTGTGCCTTACTGACTGTGGACAAATCTGAAAGAGCGGTCTTGATTTACAATCTAAAACGGAAATTAAGTCAAGACATCCTGGTGAATGTAGTTCAGTGACTGAATCAGAGCAATTGAGGAACATAACATGACACAATTACCAAAGAATGTTCATTTTTCTCCCTGAGGCCCACTTATAATGTGAGTAGCGTATGGGTGCCAAAAACATTCAATATTTAGTTTTATAGGAATATTTTCCACCCTCTTTCTGACCTTTTTATAGGGCATTGTTTTTGCCAGTGTTCCTTTAAAACATTTATGTAAACGTCCTCTTTACATGAGAAATAAGATTTGCCCTTTCTGACTCTTGCTTCTCAATGACATGATTTTATTATGGTTTAATGGTGGCTTCAGAATGATTAGTCACATGGTGATTGGCTAGAAAAGTTATGTCTTTTTTTCCTAGATTTATTTTTGTCATTTTTATGCCTTTATTTAGATAGGACAGTATGTGGACAGGAAGCCATTAAGAAGTTTTAATTAAAAAAGTAACAATTTTCATAATGCATTGAACTAATTTAATTTAAGTAGACATCATTTTTAATTATTTATATGGTCTTTGCTGTAATACCACCTTTGAATAATAGTAATAATAATAATAGGCTTTTATTAAGAACTTTTTCATTGCATAGGGCTCTTGACTTAACTTATACGGTTCTTTGGAGATTAAAATACTATTGTTGTTACATTTATAGATTCAAAATGCAGGTTCTTCAGAGTATTTGTGTCTGGGTTGTTTAAATCACCAGCACATTTTTCAAATAAAAAGTTCTTTATGGGAACGAGGTTCTCCATTGGCACTATAGGCTGTAAAATGCTCTTTAGCTCTATTTGTGACTTTTATTTTTAGGACTGTATTCCACCTACTTTTTTCCCATGGATGAAAGAGATGGATTGTCATGATGTTCGGACTAGGAGGAAAAGTCATGGTTAAAGCTTTAGCATCTCCTAGTGTGACATTGACTTGACACTTACACAATACCTTTGCTCCTTCTCAAGAAGATCAAAGAAAAGAGGAGAAAGGCAAAGGGAATGTAGGCTAAGATTCCAATTTTCTTTCTTCCTTCCTTTCTTCCTTACTTAAAAATAAAATGGCATTCAATGTTTTAGCACTGATATGGACCTACTAATTAATAGAATCATCAACAAATGAATTATTATTTAAATTATAATATTTAGAAGTAGCACAAATACAGTTCTCTGTTTCTTGTATGAATGTGAGTCAAATTTTGCAAAATATATGTGACATGATCATTAAATCATTTTGAGTTTCCAGGGTGAAAAGCTACAGAGGCTTTGGCACAAGGAACCATCACAAAACATTTGTATCCTGTAGTGCTGTGAACAAAAGAACCCATTGTGTTAAGAGCACATCTCCAGTTTATGGAAAAAGACAGAAAAAGTGGATGTGGAATCCTCAATGAATATTTTTTATCTTTACAAAATAAAAATTACAGGGCTAAAAATCACAAGTATCAGTTTGTAACCACATGTTTATGTAATTTTATTTATTTCATCACCATATTACCCCACAAATATTTTGACATTTTTAACTGTTTGTATTTTGTTGCTGAATTTTTAAGTAAGAAAGCCCTATTGCTAAAAAAAAGTTCATGTCAAAAATATAACTATAATCGTTTTACCCCTATGTGAGGGCAGGTGAGATAAAAACAGCTCTGGATACAGTGTGTTTTTATGTTAGTGTGCACCGGGACATGCACTATAACTGTGAGCTGTTGAAATTAGTCATTCCAAATCACATGATAAGAAAACTTGCCATGGGAATAAACTCAAAATAGAGCCTCATGTTAAGCTTGTAGTTTGGGTGCTACAAGGTAAAGGGAATAGTTATTCCCTAAATTCCCTATATTCTTTCATGGGCAGTATTCTTTGGTATATATAAAAATATTTTGTGGTTACAATAAAATCCTAATGTCCAGGAGGACATATAACGTTCAGGACTGTTCAGTGTAAATGGAGAGCACCCACAGAAAAATAAATATAAAACATATTAAGTTCAGTCCTGTCACAGTCTAGTCAATAGTACTGAAAGCTGAAATGCTAATTATTACATGAAAAAAAAATATTTTCTCTAGTTGCTCATTTTGTGATGACTCTCTTGAAACTGTTGTTCATCTCTTTTGGAACTGTCCATTTACAAAGAAATTTGGGCAAGATGTTTTAGGTTTCATTAGAAGTCAAATGTATAATGAACGTGTCCTGTTTTGGAAGGATGTAGTGCTGGGTTTTATTGATTAAGAACAGTCTAAAAAATGGATGTAGTGAATCTGATTTAGCTGCTTGCAAAATTCCACATTCACAGATGCAAATATTCAAACTCCAGAACTCTCTTTTGTTTTCATAAATGAACTGTCTAAGAACAAAAACGCTTTTTATTGTTTTTTTGTTTTTTTTAAAAAGGCTTTTTATCTGTTTGTAACTCTTTTCCTTTCTTTAATGATATGTAAGTCTCAAATTTTTGTTTTGGAGTTTGTAATGTATTTAACAACCTTTTTTTATTTTGTTGTTACTGTCTATCCTTTTATTTGTTAATGTTTGTATTACTGTTTGTATTGTGTTTTTGAGTATCAGTAACACACACACACACACACACACGTCTGGTCAGCTATCCTTGTGGGGACTCTCCACAGGCGTAATGAAAAAAAAAAAAAAAAGCTCATTCTGTATGATTTATAAGCTTTTGTACCCATGGGGACCTCAATTCAGGTCCCCACCGTGACACGAGTCCCCATGAGTTTGTGTGTATTCAGGTTTAAATCCCCACCTGAATATATAAACGCACACACACGCGTTGCGCGCAAACACACACATACACACAAAGTAATGGTTTGTGTTAATCTCCCTCTACTGGAGAGGAGGGTGTGCGTTGTGCAACAGGCCTGTCTGCAGTTTTATGCAAGATTATAAGGTCCATGTTTGTTGATTAAAAACATTTTCAGAAAATATTCAGCAATAAACAATTCAGTCACTATATATTTTATTTACACTTTTTATAAAAGATCTCTATGAACACTGAATTTACCTTCATGATGGACTTACACTCTTAAAAATAAAGGTTCTTTATTGAAGAACCATTAACATCCATGGAACCTTTTCACAGTTCTACCTAAATGGTTCTTATATAGCATCACTAGCCAGGTTTCCATCCAAGGATTTTTTACAAAAACTTTTTAGAGCTTCAAACGTTTTTACCGATATAGCTGATGGAAATGCCATTTATCGATACAATTTCTCACGTGTCGACATTATCTATTAGTATTGTTTAACTTTAGCACATAAATTCTATATCGATACTTCAAATGTCGCAAAAATAATTTTGGAAACACTTTTTGTCAAGAAAAGGGGCTTTAATCCCAGGAAAACAAATTTAGGTATTTTTATTGGGTCACAGCCATGTATCAATTCAAATTTCATTTAATTGTAATTTTACATAATCTTGTCGGTTAATAATGGCTTAACGACCGTCAGTTGTTGGTTAGGAGAAATAAAATAACCGAAATGAACATTTCCTCTAAAAGTTAATCAGAAAAATAATGATAGGCTAATACAACTGCACCTATTTATGAATAATGCTTGATGATCAGTCTATAACAAAGTACAAAAAAAAAAAACTCATGACACTTGTTAAAAACAATTTTATGCAGGCGTACAATTTAATAATAGCAAGGTATTCTATAGTCTTTGATAATAGGCTATAATACAGTTTTGTTTCAAATGGATGAATTACAGGCTACTAGCCTATATAATTTACGAAATAGTTGAAATTATGTATGGAAACAGCTCAAGGGCAATTTTTTTTGCGATACACCAAAACTTATGCGACAATTAGTTTTTTTTAGGGATGACGTCATCACGCACACCATTTTATCGGTAAAAGGCCAGTTGGATGGAAACAGGCTGTAGACAGCAATTTTCGCAAAGTTTTTTTTTACGCATATTCTCTTTGGTCGATAACAAAGCAGCGCAAAAACGGGATGGAAACTTGACTGCAAAAATGCTACATATTAAACATTTAGGGGAAAAAGAGTATTAAAACAACAACAACAACAAAAAATACTAACAGGCTTCAACCATATGATTTGGCTGGTGATATAATCATGATTTTTACACATACTGCAAAGTGAGCAATACTGATATCAAAACAAAAATCTTATGAATCGGACTAACATCACAGTGCATAAAGCTCAGCAGAAGAATGTGATGAGATACAAACATACAGTATATACATTTAATACATATAAATTACAAGCACTTTAATGATTCAAACACTGTCCCTTGTAGTCATATGACTCAGCAATGCAACAGCTGATGTCACTCTCTTCAAGCCGTATGGGATAAATCGAAGTCTTTGGCCTGTCTTTATTTAAATGATTATTAAAGACCACATCCAAGGACCCTGTTTACACTTGGTATTAAAATGTGTTTGTCGAGCCAATCACGAGTGGACAACTCTAAATGAAAAGATATTGAGAAGAATCCTCAAATGTGTTGTACTGGCCTGCAGCTGGAGTGCTATTGCCTGTCCTGAGTCCATCTGTGCAGCTCTGGACAGTCTCTCCTCACTGTCTGCTATGAGTAAATGGTGATGACCTCCCTGCTGCTACCTCGGACCAGCAGCACCCGGTCCAATCCCTCTGTGAGGACCTCCAGGAACTCCATGTCTGACCTCAGAGTGAAGGAGAAGTGTGGAGAACTGCTGTACATGAAGGTGACATTTAAGCTGTAACTCACTACGAATTAAGCTCTAAGTCTGAAAGAAAATGACAGACCATGTTATCAAGATTCTTTCCATTACGTATCACAGCCTGTTTTTAAGCAGACGTGCAACTGTCTGCATTCGGCTGATGAAAGGATACAATTCTCGTCTCCGCCCTTGTTTTTGGGTGGTCCTGGCATATTCAGCAGCACCAGTTGGGCTCCCTGGGATTTGTTGACTACAACCTCATTCAGTTTGACTGCAGTGTGCATTCTTCTCACGTTAGTCTGATCCCTGTGAAAAATTCAGTCATTCACATTTAGCATTAAGAGTTAGAGCTTTGGGAAACATGAACAATAGTATATCAGTTGTACATAATATATGAAAGATAAAAAACAACTGAATATGCACATGAATGTAAAGTAGAAGATCAATCACAATTTAGTATTCAAATGATGCCATCACCGTCAGTTACATTTTTAATGGTGAGCATTAGGTCAGTAGATTTCTTCTTTACGCTTTTTTAAGATCAAAAGAAATCATAAAATATCTTACCAGTATATATTTTTACATACATTAACACATTTGGAGTAAGTAATATTTTTTAAATGGTTTTGAAAGAAGTCTCTCACCAAGGCTGCATTTATTTGATCAAAAATACAGAAAAACTGTAATACTCATAAATATTATTGCCATTTTAAATAACTGTTTAAAAAATATATATATTTAAAGTGTAATCGATTCCTGTGATGGCAAAGCTGAATTTTCCTGAATATACACACACACACGGTGAAACCATGTTTTTTCTCCCTTCAAAATTGATGAACAACGTTTTTGTTTTGCATTTATTTGAACAAAGCATTTATTTAAAATAGATTTGTTGTAATAACGTAAACGTTTTTCTATTAGTTTTGATTTGATCAGTTTAATGCTTCTTGCTGAATAACAGTATTAATTTCTTTAAAAAAATACCTTACTGACTCCAAACATTTCAATATTAGTGTATGTTTGTAGTTAGTGGTGTATGTCTGAAGAATTAACTGGTAAAGTACTGCAGCTTTAGTAGAGATTCATACACGATTGTTTACTACATTATGAAATGAATGAATATATTTTATTGTATTTCCTTAAAAATGCTTTGAAACAAGACGGGGATCCATTGCTCAAAGGCTGATATCTATATCTTAAAGACTTATATTCTTACATTCTTAAAGACAGTGCAGGATTTAAGGTTGAGTGATAGAGATGTGATTTAAAAAATTATAATATTTTGTACTTCTTCAGAATTTTCTTCTGATATTTCTTAAAGGAACACTCCACTATTTTTGAAAATAGGCTCATTTTCCAACTCCCCGAGGAGTTAAACAGTTGAGTTTTACCGTTTTCAAATCCATTCAGCCGATCTCCGGGTCCGGCGGTAGCACTTTTAGCTGTAGCTTAGCATAGATCATTGAATCTGATTAGACCGTTAGCATCTTTCGATTAGACCGTTAGCATCAAGAGTTTCGATATTTTTCCTATTTAAAACTTGACTCTTCTGTAGTTACATCGTGTACTAAGACCGACGGAAAATGAAAAGTTGCGATTTTCTAGGCTGATATGGCTAGGAGCTATACTCTCATTCCGGCGTAATGATCAAGGAACTTTGCTGCCGTACCATGGGTGCAGCAGGCGTAATGATATTACGCAGCGCCTGAAAATAGGCTAACTTCCGTCAACATAACCAACGTGACCACCTGCTTGCACAGGGAGCGTGCTGGGGACTATTTTCAGGCGCTGCGTAATATCATTACGCCTATACCCGAATACCCGAATTATCCATACAGCCCTAGATAAGTGAAATGTAAAATTAATGTACAATTCATCCATATGTTAAATTTTAAGTATGCGTTAATAGCCAGAAACAGATGTCAACAGCATCAATAAACAAAACACAACATAAAAATGTGTTACACTCTTAATTAATACAACTAATGGCCAATAATCTGCAGCTTAGCACTAAAAATAATACATACCATCATACTAGCTAACTGCAGGTGTTATCTCAAGCAAGCACAAAGTTAGTGTTGAAACACATGCAAACAGAAACATCTATGTCACAATGCTTCATGCTGACACATGCCATGACTGTGACTCAAGCAGGCCACACACAGAGACACACACCAATTCATGCCGCATGTTTAGTGTGACACACATGCAACGCATCCTGTTTATATCTACTACTGTAACACAGACCAGACAACTAATACAGACTCTTAAGCACACAAACTGCTTGCACAAGAGTCAAAGAAACTTACAGATTCTCCCACTCTCTGGAAGGACAAAACAAAATGTCTTAGCATGAAAAAAGCCAACTTTTTTATTTTGAAACATGATAAAAACAGATTCAGATGAACTGCAAAATTGACTTTCTTGATGTACAGTCTTTATTGAACTTACGGTTTCATATTGAAGATGTCCCGCACAGTCATGTGAGCTTCCCGATGGCGGTTTCTCTCACTACTCAGCTTCTCTTTAGTCCAGGTCATATGGACCCGGTCAGAAGTTGGCGTGGCCTTGTCGTTCAGTGTGGCATGTGACTTAGTGTTCCTGTCATGAATCAGCTGAGCCTGAAAGAGCAAGACACACTCGGTTTACAACAACAAACTCCATTAATGTTCACTGAAAATGCCGCTGGATAGCAGACTGGCAGAACCTAGATAGACAAACTTTGTTAAAAGACCCACTGAAAAGATCAGCTTGGGCCAAGGAAATTTCCTTGGTGGTCCAGGCTGGTTTATGCTGGTTTGGTGTGCTTGCTGATCAAGGTGGTTGACCAGGGAAGCCTTACTGGATAAGCTACCACCAGCACATCAGTTATGCTGATCTTTTCAGCAGGGAATGAATGTTGTGGGAATGTTGCGATATCCACAAACTATGGATTAGTAACTAGACTGACCACGGAGTAAATAACCAAAAATAATAACCAAATAAGAATAACCTCTTCAATACATAAAACAAAAGTAAACAAACAAATACACTACTGCTCAAGTTTGGTGTCAGTATGATAATAAGAAATTAATACTTCGAATCAGAAAGGATGCACTAAATAGATCAAAAGTGATATTAAAAGAGATCTATAATGTTCCATAATGTCTCTCTTCTGTTTTTGAACATATTCATCTAAGAATTCTGAAAAAAAAAAACATTCACCGTTTCCACAAAATTAATCACATTTTAATAAATATAAGAAATGTATATTATATTATATTATCAGCATTGGTAATTAAGACATGTTTCTTGAGCACTAATTTAGCATATTAGAATGATTTCTGAAGGATCATGTGACACTGAAGACTGGAGTAATGATGCTGAAAATTCAGCTTTGCATCACAGGAATAAATTACATTTTAAAATATATTCAAATAGAAAACATTTGTTTTAAATTGTAATTATATTTCACAATATTGCTGTTTTTACTGTATTTGGTGAGCATTTTTTTTTTATCTAACCAACCCCAAACTTTTGAATGGTAGTGTAGTTTGATTAAATAAACAATCTTAAAATAAAGTAGAATAATTAGTGGAGTTGCAAACATTTTCACTCAAAACTCAGTATCGAGACACTCTCATGCTCCATAATGACATGCAGACATGCTGTAAACAAATGAAACTATGACATTTTCAGGGCCACAGTCATTTCATTGCCATGCTAAGCTTATTGCTAAATAATAAGGAATTTTCAAATTTATGAGGTAAAAAACATAGCAGAATTATAGTTGCAAAAGGCAGCCATTGGTGAAAGCTGTGGCTCTGTCATGTCTCACAATGAGAAGGGATTACTGCTTTTCCACAGGGGCTTGTGTCAGAGATGGTGCCCAATCTGGAAGAGAGCTGCGCTTTTACACACAAAAATCCTGGTCTCAAACAAGAGGACCAGTGACGTCAGTGGGCACAACTTCCACAGCTCCCAAGTCACCGGCTCCAGCGCAGGCACCAGCCACAGTGGAAAAGAGCTAGTTTGGATGGAATGGTTCAGGAGAGGTGGACAGGATGGTTATCTGGTGCTAGTAGCGTTGACAGAGAGTAAACATATAGGATCAGTAAGAGGTAAACCCCTGAGCTACCTCCTCGTCCAGAATTATAGTTGGCACTTGAAACTTGTTGCTTTGAGTTGGTTTCTCTCTGCAGGGCTTCCTCCTGATGGAATTCCGGGATTCATCCGAGATGCTTTGAATCTGGCAGTCGCCACATTGTAAATAATCCAAAATTGTTAAGTAGGAGGAAGAGGCCTCATGTTAAACAGAATTCTAACAATGCCTTGAAATTGGATCTAAAACTTATGACACTGTATGAAGTGTATTGACTGCAAACACATTGATTTATACCCCATACAGTCCCATAATAACCAGACAGCAATAAGAAAAGAATGGATTGCTGGAGAAATATTACCTCTCTCCCTCGCTCTGTCTTAGAAAGCTGCATCTGCTTCAGCATCTGAGAGCGTTGCTCCATCACAAGGGTCTTCTCATAGGTGAAGGCCGAAATATCGCCTGCATGCTACAAAGATATTGACATAACTAAAAGTTAAATTCCAGTATCTTGCAAACATTTCACCACACATAGTATACTATACATATCTTTTATTTATCAAAATGTGATTCATTTATTAAAACGTAAACTTATTAATTATAAAGATTTATTATTAAACATTATTAAATATTATTATTTTTAATATTGTATTATTCTTATTATTATTTTTAATATTATAAAAAATTGTATCTCACCATTTCCACAACTTCCACCTTTGCATCAAGACGCAGATGGTACAAGAACATCTGTAGGTCTTTCTTCATCTGGATGCTGTTGTCATCCATCTGAGCCACTGTGAAGATCCTCATCTTACACCTTCTCCAAACCTATATGATTTCAGAGAGAGAAAAGCACTGTCTGATAACTATTGGTAAAAAAAGATCAGTTTTCTGTATCAGACATTGTGTTACCTTGTGCTGGCGGAGCAGGAACGGAAGAAGCATGAGTAGACCACCATCATGGACAATCCACCAGACATCAATGGTACCCTCAGCTAACCGGTCCTGGTTTGTGGGAAATGTATCGATGTTTTTCGCCACTAACAGGGCCTGGTGGGCAGCTGTTGTCTCTCTGACGGTTTCTTTGGGACAAATCATTTTAGTTTTTACTATTTTATATTATTTACTGTACTTCACCGTTTTCACAAATACATTTCACAAACTGATCTAAAAATGATGTGGAATTATTGTAACATTGCAGTGTTTTTGGAACTTTGAGATCCAAAGCCTACAAAAGTTCACTCAAAATAAAGCTCAACTACAGTCTTAAGCCTTATAATCTTCATTAATAATCCATGACCTCATTGCATTAAAATGATTATCTGACTTTATGGCAGCTTAGTATCAGAAAATGACACATGCGCACCGATGAAGTTCTTCCAGGAGAGGGAGCTCTCGGCTTGTTTCCAGTTGCTGGGCCAGGCCATCAGCACTGCATTGTGTTTCATGCCACCCAGGCCTGCAGACTGGATCAGGTGAGAGAAACCATCCCGCTGGTTAGAGGACACCACCACATGACAGAAACCCTTCGTTTTCTCCTTTGCCATGGCCGCTTTGATATTCTGTGAAGAAGAAAAAAACAAAAACAAGGTAATGTTAGTAAGTTAACATAATGTTGAATATTTTTCAGTTTGACATAAGTATGGTAAATACAATATGTACTGTAGCTGACATAAGCTGAGATACGTACAAATGCTGTTAGAAAGGCAACATATGTCTATATTTAATCACTACTAATCCCTGAACTTTATTTAACAAAATGACAAAAAATTTACTACAGTGTAGATTAAAATTTGTTTTGTGACTGTCATACAATGTCACCATAAGCCATAACTTATTACAAGGACTTTCACTCTTGAGCAATCTGCAGTTAAGTGTCTTTCTCAAGGGCACAATGGTCATGGCATGTTTTTTGCAAGGTTTGAGCCAGCAACCTTCTGTTAACCAAACCAGAGTAACCACACAAATGAACACCATAAACTGTGAAATTTCTATGTGAATTCTATACTATATTCTTATGTACTATAAGCCCTAAATTGCCTAATTTGTCAACATAAAATATTGCCAGCATTTTCAAATGGGGCCATTGTAGTGATGTAGAAAAGCCCTTGTTTGTTTTTCTTTTTTTTTTTTTTACATTTGGTGGTGCATTTATTCTTTTCTTATGGTTGTAAGCTGTTCTGAAGGGCAATGTGAAAAAACTAAAATTGGAAAAATTACAAAATTACTTTTCATTTTTTTCCATTAACATTTGCTGACAGTAGTTGTACAGCAATTACTTCACCCTTGAAGTCACTGGATTAGAGAATGTGCCAGGGGTTCCCAAACGATTTTAAGTTAATATTTCAAAACATTTAACAACACATTGACATGTTCATTATTATTATCATTATTAGTAGCAGTAGTATGTTTTAACTGTAATTATACCAATCGAGACAGATATTTTTTATAGTTGTAAATTACAATTATACTGTAAAAAAAAAAAAAAAAATTTGATAATTTTAATAATGCACCGTGCGTTTCATTTATGAACCACTGTTTGGGAAACCCTGGAATACGCAATAACCTCAAAGAATGCTATTGAGTTGTCAAAGCCAAAAACAAATTGGCTTTGCTATGAAAGACAAAGAAGCTTGGCTTTAACTGTATGCCTTTACCTTTTCAGAGAGCTTCGCATCTGCCTCACGAGCCATGTAGGTGCCCTCCAGCACTGAGCAGACGATGGTCAGGCCTTTCCCAGCCTTCAGCTGTGAGGTAAAGGAGAGCAGACGTGGATGTTTTACCCCCAAGTCAGAGTCCAACTTTAGGAGCACCAGCAGCTGAGGTCTGGAAGATGAGTTACATTTGAAATATTTGTCTTAGATTCTGTCAAGTATGAAGAAGCTTATACAGCACTGGATTCTTCTGGATGCTCACCTCCAGTTCTTGGTGTGAGGTGGCGCCTCCTCCAATTTTATTAGGGCATATTGGGCTGCATTAAGGGATAATCCTCGAATCCCGTCTCCCCATTCCTTCTCTGCCCTGAGGGGAAATAAAATGGGGAGTTAATATATTTTTTACATTTAGCTTTAAAACACTATGAATATGACGGACACTTGCTTACCCTCTGTATTCAATGTACTTGTACATGCATCCAGAAAACAGTATGGCAACCAAAGCATAGTACCAAGATGAGACAAACATAAGGGACAGACTCAGGCTCATCCCAAGAAAAGAGAGGGACCTGCAGACATTTAAACAAATCCAATAGTGCATTGAATGGTAGTTCACACAATCAAACATTAACTCAGACTGGTCCATTCTACCTCAATTTACATGCAGATGGAACTAATAGGTATTATACTACACTTGTTTGGTTAATGAAAAACCAATGTCCATGTAACAGCATGAATTTGAAAGCATGTAGCAGGACAACAAAACATGCCCTTCCCACAAAGCTGTTGCTTGTTGAGGAAAACTGGCCCCTCGACTGAGCCTGGTTTTCTCCAAGATTTTTTTTCTCCATTTTTGTTACCAATGGTGTTTGGGTTCCTTGCCACCGTTGCTTTTATTATTGAATTGACCATACTGACATTGTTGGATGTGATCTGGGCCGGTTGCATAAACTTTTTAGACTAGTCTTAAAGTTAATCATTTCTTTAGTCAAAGTCAGTTTCAAAAAGGTAGTTGGTCACACTAGTTAAGACAGTCTTAACATCGTGACTATGTTTATGAACTGAAATGATGACATCACTGTTTTCTACAGGACTGCTTTAAAGCTGAATTAATCTACTTTCATAACTGATGATCTTTACACAGTTATTGAATGGAACTGAATCAACACTGAACTGACCTCAGCTGAACAAAGACACTATTGTTTTTCAATAGCTGCTTTACAGCCGAATTGATCTCTGTTTGCACTTTTGAATCATTATTTTCCTATTTATCCTTATAAAGCTGCTTTGAAGCAATCTGTATTGTATAAAGCGCTGTATAAATATAGGTGACTTGACTTGTTGCTCGAATAATCATAAAGTGTTACTTACCAGTGGTAGAACTTGAATCTTGGCCTCCAATTTGGGGTGCGTAGAAGTGTTTGGACAGCACAGGCCAAGTTTACAAAGAGGTAACACATCAAGAAAAGCCTGCAAAGTAGAAATTGGAAGCAGGGTTATTATAGTTAACTACAATTAAAACTAAAACCATAAAAAAAAACATTTTGTTAATTGAAATAAAATAAATGTTAACTGTTTTTAATTTAGGTTAACTTATACTAAAATTTCCCAAAATAACTAAATCTAAAACTGAAATAAAAATGGATAAAAACTACACTACCAGTCAAAGGTTTTTGAACTGGAAGATTTTTTAATGTTTTTTAAAGAATTCTCTTCTGCTCACCAAGCCTGCATTTATTTGATCCAAAATACAGCAAAAGCAGTAATATTGTGAATATTAAGTCGTATGTCATTGTGTGATTGCATCTCAAATATATTTAAGCACTTAAATTAGTCAAGCAATGAGTATTTCAATGCAATTTTGCATTGTTTACATTTTGACATTTTCGTTGCGAAAGCGAAAATACTTTGTTTGGCCTTCCAAAAGAGGACATGATCATAAGTGGTTAAGCTGTATTTACAACGCTTATTGTTTAACCCAAATATTCAGATGTGTGCAGCGCATTTTATGGAGGACTGTTTCCTGATCCTAGGAGAGTAGCCTACAATGCCGGCTGTTCTGACTCACAGACTGTAAGTACGTTTTCATTATTTAAAGGATTTGCCACTGATGATTCAAACGTGAGTTTTGAGCAGTGTAGAGTTATTGGTGTTGTCTCATCGTGCCGGGACACTACATCACAGTATGGTGAGGGGCGTAACATTTCCGTCACACGCTTGAGGTATTCGGCCAATCACAACGCACTGGATAGCTGGATAGCCAATCAGAGCACACCTCGTTTTTCAGACCGATGAGTTTTGTAAAAATCGACGCGTTTCAGAAAGGTGGGGCATAGATGAGAAACAATAATGTACAGTATGTGGAAAATAATGTGTTTTTTGAACCTTAAACCACAAACACATTTCATTACACCAAATACACAAAATAATGTTCTTTTTAGCAACATCATATGACCCCTTTAAATTTCACAGATTTTACCCCCTAAGTCAGTACAAAGCAGAAGAAAAAAGATTCAGTCTGGGTCTAGCTATGTCACAAAATAAAGATGTAAAAGCAAGGAGAAAACACTCACATTGAGAGGATGGGAGCAACATGATCCAGGGAACCAATGAGGATCCCAATCTCACAGATTGCTGCAGTTAGGAGTAAGGCCCAGGTTGGCTCACCGTTAGATTTGCTATGACCAAACACCTACCAGTAAGAAGTAGGACATGTTAGTCTTCATAGTCAAGTGCTTTGCGAACTTTCATTTCTTTCTTTCTATATATTTTTGTAAGTAAGAACAATTCAAACACACCTGTGCCTCAGGACATTTAAATGTGCCTTTACCTAATAAAAGATCACAGAAGGCAGGGCATGTTGTTACCTGTAAGAATGGCATGATGCCATCTCGAGCTATAGCCTGAAGGATCCTGGGAGCACCGGTGAGGCTCTGTAGCCCCGCCCCACAACAGGAGAAAAATGAGCCAATCACAATCACCCACGAAGATGGCCAAGCTAGTGTTGCAACAGCTAGAGTCCCTTTAACTGACTCGCCATACCTATTACGAAAGCAAGCATGCAAAAACAGGAAGAATATATTAAAACTGTGACTGCAGGTCTTATCTGAACTGATTCAGCAAGCATTTTTGTAAACCACTGTTATTACCAAACAGCACTTACTTGTCTCGCAGTACCACACCTTCAATACATGCTCCAAATAACACCACACAGGAAAGGTCTGTTTAGCATAATTAAGGTATTCATCGGACTTGTCAAACAATTAATTATAAAATTGTTTACAAAACAAACTGCTTTAAATTCTTTCCCTAGAGGCTTTATTTTTTTGCAGAAAAAGATACAGATAATGGAGGTGGTTGCAATAGCCATAATGGTACCAGTGGGAATGGACCTCTGAGGGTCTCGAAGATCTCCAGACCTGTTTGACCCAGCCATAATTCCTGTGAAAATCAGAGAAAAACATTTAATGCATTTCTTTTAAAACACTTTTCCCACAGCAAATAGTTTAACTCTTCAATATTGTTGTTCGTTTTTTAAACCACAGTTTTTTTTTAGTAGTGAAGCTATTTGATGTATTAGGCACAATGTCTTTCAATACATCAACAATATTTTATACAATGTTGCACAGAATCTCTCTTTTGACTTGGTTCCTTCTAAATAATCGGCCAAGTGGGTTAGAAAAATGTTCTTGAAATAGTTTGCAATTCCATCTGAATCATTAGCACAGATCAATCACACTTTGAATCATTTGAAGAGGTTTATCTCTCTATAAAACCAAAAGAGTACTCAATGAAGTGAATATTTACCCACAATTCACTGAAACCAAACCTGCAGATGAATCCTAACGTTTGTAAGCGAAGGTCTGTTTTTAGTCATTTGTAGCCAAAACGGTATCAAAAAACTAAAAATACATGGAAGCACAAGTAACATTGTGAAGGGCTCATATACTGCTCACATTTTTGCTACTTTTGGCTTTCATAAACATAATTGTTTTTACAGAAACAAATGGAAAAGACACACTGTAACTATAAACTGTCTATTTCAGACACTGTCACACCCTACAACCTTATCACCTGCACAGAGAAACTGCCACTCAAAATACACACATAATGATGGACTTAAAGGAACACTCCACTATTTTTGAAAATAGGCTCATTTTCCAACTCCACTAGAGTTAAACAGTTGAGTTTTACCATTTTCGAATCCATTCAGCCGATCTCCGGGTCCGGCGGTAGCACTTTTAGCTGTAGCTTAGCATAGATCATTGAATCTGATTAGACCGTTAACATCTCGCTCAAAAATGACCAAAGAGTTTCTATATTTTTCCTATTTGAAACTTGACTCTTCTGTAGTTACATCGTGTACTAAGACCGATGGAAAATGAAAAGTTGCGATTTTCTAGGCTGATATGGCTAGGAGCTATACTCTCCGGGTCTGGCGGTAGCACTTTTAGCTGTAGCTTAGCATAGATCATTGAATCTGATTAGACCGTTAGCAATGATATTACACAGCGCCTGAAAATAGGCTAACTTCCGCCAACATAACCAACGTGACCACTTGCTTGCACAGGGAGCGTGCGCTTTCCATTGGAAGTTACCTAGCTGGGACTATTTTCAGGCGCTGCGTAATATCATTGCGCCTGCTGCACCCGGAATGAGAGTATAGTTCCTAGCCATATCGGCCTAGAAAATCGCAACTTTTCATTTTCTGTCGGTTTTAGTACACGATGTAACTACAGAAGAGTCACGTTTTAAATAGGAAAAATATAGAAACTCTTTGGTCTTTTTTGAGCGAGATGCTAACGGTCTAATCAGATTCAATGATCTATGCTAAGCTACAGCTAAAAGTGCTACCGCCAGACCCGGAGATCGGCTGAATGGATTCGAAAATGGTAAAACTCAACTGTTTAACTCTAGGGGAGTTGGAAAATGAGCCTATTTTCAAAAATAGTGGAGTGTTCCTTTAAAGGCATACTAGAGGATCGTAAAGATATTTCACTGGAACTTGATCTTCATTACATCCATTTTCTGTTTCTGTTTCGAGTTTGAATTCTTTATGCATTTATTTGTGTTCAACAGCAATTGTCATTTATGTATTCAGCTAATAGCTCTTGTTTTAGAGCACTGACATTTTTGCTACAATTTCATGCGAGTAAAAAATAAAAGTACACAATTTTTTTTTATGTAAAGCCTACAAAATATTATGAAACCAGGCAGATGTAAATGAAAATGTTGGCCTTCCAGTCACTTTTTCATGCTTCATGTGACTGTAGAGTTGTTGTAATAATATGGTGATTTTTGTCATTTTGGAGCTTGAAAATCCCACATTCCTTTTAATTATACTGAAATTCACCAGTACTGCAAAAATTCACCTTTCTGCAGAAAAAAAGAACGTCATACTGGTTTAAAATACCTGTAACTGAAGGGAAGTAGATTCCAACCAGAAGGGTGAAGAAGGTAGTGATGTCATTGAGGACATAATATGAAATGTCATTGGTGTTATCTGAAGCTCGTTCTGAACTCTGTCCCTCCTTCTCCACTATTGCCCTGTATTGTCCGTAGTGTCCCCACATGTTATCTAGGAGAAACATTAACACATAGTAAAACACTGAGCAACTGACTATTTAATTTTGTTATCATCATGAAATCTTGTGGTGTTCAACTAATTTCAAGTTAAATGAGATTTGTATAGCTTGGTGTGTAGTTTTATTTGAGTATTCACCTGATATGACCCCGCTGAGCAAGCCAGGAACAGCTTGAATCTCTGTTAAATTGTTATGGGTGAAGTATTCATCACATGTTGCATTTTCAATGCCACCTTCACAAAAAAGCTTCCATAGTTGGGTGGGGGTGGTTACGTTGTTGATGAGCTCTGTCTTTAAACACTTGTCAAACCTAGAATTTTGCAAGGTGCGGTTGCCTAGCAGACAAACTCTGTTGATGTACAAAAGAGACCAGTAATGTAATCGTGTTCAAATAATATGCTCCATCATATTCAATATATTGTAAACTTTTAAACATTGTAAATTAAGCTGTAGCATATTTTAATCAAATACTAAGCCGTAGGCTTTTCTAGACCCATTTAGACAAATAAATAAATAATAAATTACAATAAAATAAAAAAAATGAAGTGTCCAGAAACTTGCAGATGCAGTTTTGTTGTAATGTCACGCCAGGTAGCCCAGGCCAGAATCCTATATAATTGAATCGTATATAATTCGTATATAACATCATGGGCATCATGAGAATTTGTTACATTGCTTCCTGTTAGTGGAACGATTTTGCCCTCCACTGTGCTGCTTTTTAATTCTTTTTCATAATTTTTAATTCACATGTAGTTATTTGGGTTTATTTTTCAAAATATAATGTGAACAATATAACGTTTTGTAAAGACTAATTGCATGTCATGTTTCCGACTTGAATGTGAGACATAATAATTTATACACTTGAACGCAGCATAATGTTTTATGCTGTGTAAAGTTAAAATGTCCATGTAAAAAAAATCACAGCACTACTCACGGAGAATTGGGAGGCTTGATGGCAGATTGGATGACCCCTGCATAGATGGCCATAATTGACAGCATTACGCAGGACAGGAAGACCAAAGCCAACTTGTTGACATATTTCACTCCAACAAACACTACCAGAGTCATGATAACTAAACAGCATGTCCCATAAATGCGCATGTTATTTTGCATTCCAGTTGGCTCTCCAGTCTCTGCTTTAAACACAGCAGCATTGGGCATTATGTATGTCTGTAACAGGGTATGAAAGGAGAGAAAGGGTTATTGTTATCATACTAAGGATGCATAAGTTAATGTGATTTTTGAGGTTATGTCAAGGGCAATGAAAAGCTAAGTTAATGATAGAATCTGCTGACTCGTGTTAGTTCAGTGCTGACACAAGCTCTTCTGTAGTGCTGAATGAGTACTGTTTTTGTTTGCCAGAAATTGTTAATGTTGGTCTGTAAGTTTTGACTCACCAAAAAAATTTCCATGGTTCCTAGTATGTACATAGAACCTGCAAATGTGGTGCCCAGGTAGAAACACAAACCCACTGCTCCTCCAAACTCTGGGCCTAATGCTCTGGAGATCATGTAGTATGAACCACCAGCTAAAGTGGGAAGAAAAGAGAATCACGTTGACTTAAAAACAATTATGGAGTCAATAATAATAAAAATAATATATAAAAGAGTGACATAGCAGATTGAAATCATACCAGGCACTACACCATTAGTCGCAATGGCACTCATTGAAATTGCAGTCAGCATGGTCTAGAGATAAGAAAAAAGACAGATGTAAAACAGATAAATATTTTGTTAAATGTGAGTCGAAAATATATGATCATAAAGGCTATAAGAATACCTCATATGGCCAAACGTATGTAGACACCCAAAGACAAATCCTATAAATGCTTGATGCAAGGTTATTAAAGTCCTTAATTTTAAATTTTATTTAATTTTTTATTTAATTTTATAAATTTTATTTCTATTGGCAATTTGTTTTTTTCAATTTACTTCATTTTTTGTTAGAATTCACCTTTAGTTTTAATTGTTACAGAGCTTTCCAGTTTTACTTTTAATATTTCAGGGCTGCCAAAGTCAATGTTCAAACTGTATCTTTTAAAAATGTTTACCACCTGTGTGGATGAATGTGGTTTGAGGTACCAGTGTACACGGATACAGGACAATCTTAGCAAAGCAAATGAACAAATAAATAACCATTTTTGTGGGTTGTTAACAAACTGTCAGCAACAACAAACTGTCAGCTTCCTGCTACCCACAGCTACTTTTCTCTGTGTACGGATATGTCTTGACACGCATTGGAGAATTACATATGTAGTTTCTTGTGAAATTCATTCTGACAGCTCTAAAATATAAATTGTGCATTTAGGTAAAGGCATGGTTTGGAAGACAGATTTTTTTACACACTCAAAGATTTGCAAAGGTTTAGTTTTATACTCTATACTGTGTTTAAAAGAAAAAAATATGATTTTACTTAATTTAATTACAACATAAAAAATTGTTTATTGCAGTCCTATTAGTTTTTATTAAAAAAACACACACAGTACCAGACTTTGAGTAGGCTAGTAAAGTTCTTCCGCACCTGACTTGGTAAAAAATTTCAAAATGGTCTCAATTTCAGCATTGTCATGAAACTGTTCTAAAGTCTGACACAAAGTCTGAAGCGCATAGTTGTCTAGAATGTCACTCTATAGAATCAAGATTTGTCACTGAAATCCGATAGTGATCGAGCCAATTCTGAGAATTATAAGGAAGTGTTGAGTTGACATACTTTTGGCCATGTCAAGTGTTTCATTTCTTTGTGTGACAAAACTGTCAAAACTGACAAAAAGGCATTTTTTAATTAAGTGATTGAAGAAATGGCTTCATGTTTCTTTTCCCACCTGGATACACTAGGTTAGTGAGTCCAAAAAAAAGTGTTTTTCAATTGAAAATGGAAAAAACTCACACAAGAACAGCACATGAAGACGATAGCAAGGGCCTCCACGATTCCCGCGGTACCCACTATCCATGTGAGCCGCAGGAAAAGAATCACACCCAGAATGTTCTGCATGCACGGCAGGAACACACCTATAAATGTGCCCATTTGAGGGCCCTTCAAACAGATTGACACATAAAACGAAAACATTTCAGTTATGTAGGACAAACTGAGATGCCAGCAAAATGTCTGCAGAAGCTGTGAATTCAATGTGTGTTTGAAAGTCTTTTAACCATCTCGGTGAAAGTCAGTTTGGAGACTCACATTTACGGTGACCCTCTGAATCCCATCCTCACTCTCCGCTTCCTCGTGCTCGACGGCCCCCTGGGTTATGTTGGTGTAGTTGGCCAGTTTGTTGAGGAGAGATGACACCATCGGTGTGCTGTCCATCTCATCCTGTGAGTAAAGACACGGAGCAGCCAAATGATTTAATACATACAACATTGAATTGTAATTTAAAGGCACTATATAAACAAGGTGAAGTATTTTATTTGAACAATGTTCTCAAACAGTGATAGCTGATGCACAAAGATGAAAGGGTTGGTTTTAAGCAGTTTGTTAGCCTACCTCATAGAGAGCCATATTCTTGCCATAGATGCTGTCATCATGATCTGTACTGATTAAAGAGCTGGTTTCTCTTGGAGTCTCGTCACCTGGCAAATGAGAGAAAACACAAATATGGTTTAAATCAGAGACAGGTTGATTTTTAGTTAGTTTAAAGGCTGGAATACGCTATACCATTTTTAAAAACTCCAAACACAACAAACTCACGCAGAAACATGCACCTCATTGTAAGATGATGCATAACAAATGAAAACTAACATTCTAAAATCTGCTCAAAATATCAGGTATGTTTGATATCCTGTGGCTGGATGGACATAGTCTGAGAGTCTGTGACATTCTCTAACTTTCAGCAACTTCTCTAAACTGCAAATCAGGTTGAAAATCTCAGCAAAATGCATGTAGTGTATTTAGTCTAAATTAGAGCTTCATCTGTTTTTTTTTTCAGTGTTGTTAGCTTTGGACCAGACATAAGTACAAAAAATAATAAAAGTGAAAGTGTTAACTCAACTTGACAAGACATGTTTGTTCTGGTCTTGGGAAAACATTACAAAACTCACATTTTCCACATCACTCTTCATCTGTTATTTTAGTCAAGAAATGTAATTGAACCCTTTCATTTACTAGACACTGTTGAAAACATGGTTCAAGTTGTCATCTTTGAAATAACCCAAAAAGTGTTTCATGCCAGTATATTGTTTAATATGCCATGATTGTTTGCATTCACCAAACCAATATTTGCAGCAAACAAGCATGAGATATTTTTCTAAAAGACATTTGAGAAGGTGAAATACAAACAGATCATCCAGATAATTTTTGTCTGTCCAGAAGACACCTGTGTTCCCTCAAACTATGACTCATTATACCTTCACAACAGCAGATTTATGTCTACTGCACACCTCTGCCTTAATGTAAGAAACATATATGTTGACGGTAAAAAAGAAAGTGAAACATTACCAATGTATAGGCTATATATAGATCAAATAAGCATTTTGCCAGTATGTGAAATTTCAAATGCTCAACATTAATTACAACATGATTTAAAATCAGCTTACTCTTGCCATTGTAATGATCTTTTGATGATCCATATCAATGAGATCCTAACTCACCTAATGTCTCTACATTCAAACCTTCTTCACACTCCATGCTGAGAGGGAGACAAAGGCGAAAGAGTAAGAACGCTGTGCCTCAGGAAATTGCTGTACAGTCTGCTCTAATGCCAGTCTGTCTGTTGAACCACAGTTCAGTAGTCTTCACTTAGTCTTCTCCACTTGTTGCAAGCAACGCTAGACAAACTCCTTAGATTTGTCAAGAAGGACGGTGGTCCGTGTGAAGGAGAGCAGCCGGTCTCTGTGTTCCAGCAGTTGTCCAAGTCTCCTACCTCTCATATCTGATTGCTTCTTTCTCTCACTTCTTCACTTGGTTTTTATTCCAGTACATGCTTTATGTAGGTGACATCAGCCTCTCCCTGCCTTCCAGTTTGTTTTGTCCTCTCTGAGGTTCAAAAACAGCATCAGACAGGCTCTGTCCTGTATTTCTTAAACCCTCTGTACTGGATCACTGACTGAGTGCGAGTCTTGAATGACTTCTTATCAACTCAAGGAGGGGAGGGGGGATTACAGTAAAGGCTTATTCAAAACCAGTTAGTCAGCCGAAAGAAAATATGTGCAGAAAGAAAAACTGAAATCCAGTTCATCGGCATGCTAGACCTCATTTGTGTAATTTCAGAAACATTTCAAAGTAAAACTTAAGGAGTGTGTCCAGTGTGAAATTACTGAAGTGGGTATAATATGATTATGATAAACATTTAAAGATTTATATTTAACTAAATATTAGATGTGTAAATGAAAATGATTTATATTTTGTAGTTTTTAAGCAGTGACAATCAAACAAACTACTGAACAGAGATCTTCTTTATGCACCAAGAGCTTGTAACACTCCAAAGAGAAAGGAAAAATTGAAATCGCATCATATGACCCCTTTAAGACTGGACTCAGTGCTGCATTGAGGTACAGGTATATTGCTGATGTTAGACAGACTGAGAAAGTTGATTTTAAAGTTGTATTAGTAACTGGTAAAATATCTATTTCCCAGGCCTGTGCTGCCATTGGATCTAATTTCACGTCTCTTTCCACAGTGAAAACAGAACAATAACAGAGGAGGTTCATTAAAAGCTTTCAAGGTTTCCGAAACATCCTTTTCCTGAGAATTCCTTCCGTGTGGCTTGTAAGTTATGTTTATCATCCTGTACACAGCTAATTTTGTATATATACAATGAAATCCCAAAGGGACTAATTTGTGATGTTTTGGGAAAGCTCAGTTGGCATGCATTTACTGTATAAAGACTTGATTTTAAAAGTATAACAGATTTGGCCAAATATAATATTAAGGGTTTATATATATATATTTTTTTTTTTTATTTATTTATTTATTTTTTTTATTCCATTGATACATTTATGATATATGTATGATGTAGTAAGAATAGGGAGCACCTACTTGAGGAAAAAAACATCAGTTTTATTCAGAGGCCAAAACTGAGCAAAAGTGTTCAATTTAGTGCAAATGGTATTTATGTGGCCAAAAGATAAGATGAAATTCTGGCATGCTTTTCATGTAAATTAGTTTTCATTCTAGATCTCCTAATAACACAAGATTATATTAAATCCTTCGTTTTATGATCTCTGTATTTTGGCAATGCAATGATGATGACTGAGATATAAATGTTCCCCAAACGCCTTATGTATCATATTTGATACTTGCATTTTAACATGATTTTTCATATAAAATGATGTATGGATAATCAAGTAAAACTAAGTTGTTTCAGTCCAGTAAATGGTGAAATAATAAAAATGACAATTTATTCTTATGTTTACTTTATAAAAATCATTATATTTTTATGAAGTTTTCACATTAAAAAGATAACCTGAATAGGACATTTTTATAGTTGTATGTGTGAACTATCAATCAGAGGGCAGAAGGCATGTAGAGCAGGTTTTTCATCAAAGTTCTGACCTTGTTAATTTATAGGAGATTCATGTACTCTACAGTAGGGCTTTATAGGGTTAATGAGGGTTAAATGTTCATCTGGAAGATTTTTTCACAAGCAGCATTTCATCTTAAAAGGGAAACAGCACAATTAAACTTATTTTTGTCATGGAAAGTTTTAAATAGGCCAGTTAAAAGAAAGAGGACAAATTCCATAATGATGAGCAACAAGCTCTGCTACACACCCCTGTACACACATTAACACACATAAAAGAAAACTTCTGGATTATGCTATTCTTATGTGAATGGATAACGATAAACTTTAAGATGATTACGCCTGTTCCAATAGAGTGTCAAGTCAGAAAATGAAGGAACATCGACCAGCAACTTCCTCATTTGATGTAAACAAAGATACAACAAGCAACAAGTAACATGACAAGAATCCTGATGCAACTTAAAATGCCCAAAGAATGAACTGACATCTATTTAGTTCTTATTCAGATGCTGTCATTTACTCACTCTCATGTTGTTCCAGACCTATGTATTTGTTTCTTCTGCTAAACTCAGAAGAAGATATTTTAAAGAATAATGGTAACCAAACAGTTGAGGGTAGCTGACTTCTATAGTATGGAAAAAATACTATGGAGGTCAGAAACTGTTTGGTTACCAACATCCTTCAAAATGCCATTTTCTGTGTTCAGAAGAAGAAAGAAATTCATACAGATTTGAAACTTGAGGGTGAGTAAATGATGACAGAATTTTCATTTTTGGGTGAACTGTTCCTTTAAATTTGAATGGAATCCACAAAAGAAAGTTCAGAACTTCCAGGATAGAAGACATTGTGCAACTTGACTTTAAGGTTTCTTTTTTTCTACACAAAAAAGTGGAGCAACAGATTAAGTAATTAATCTAAACAGAAACAGTGAAAGATGACAGAGTAAAAGAGAAACAGGAAAATGAAGGGGAAAAAAGGCACCAAGAAACCACCAAATGTTTACACTCCATGGAAGATGATTTCATAAACACATGGCAGTGAACATGGCACACATTTGCTTCTGAGGATGCGCTTACTGTAAACAGACGCTTTTAAGAAAACCCAAGCCTTGCACAATAAGCCTTTAAAAGTCCTCCTCTTCTGTTTGCACATGTCCAGGCAGAATTTTTTTCCACAGAAAGCTCTCACCTGAATTGGGTCCCGCTGCCGTGTATGGCTCGTCCTTGTCCTCTTCTTTCATTATCTCTTCATCATAGTCTGGATTTGATATAGGGGTGTCCTCCACCGGCACCACTGTGAAGTTTGTGGGCATTTTCCCTCACACCATGTGCTCAGTGTTATATTCCTTGAGTCTTTTTTTCTCTGTCTCACCCCAAGTCTCCTGGGCTCGCCAGAGTTCGAAGTTCTCTGACTTCTTCACAACTGTTGTTCAGACGCGGCAGCCCATGTGATCACTCTCAACCAAATAAGGAGCTGTACACAACTCCTCCCTCGAGGAGCGACGGGCTGTTCTGTCCTGCCACAGAGTTTAGAGTTGGTGCTTCCTGTTTCGTGCTAACTGTCCTTCTCATTGTATCTGTGACGGCTGGGAGGGAGGTGATTGTTTGCCGTGTCAGAGTCATCTGAGACTGCCCAAAGTGATGGGAACAAAAGGCTAAACACAATGTGGCATTCCTCAACCCCAGCCCAATTCCCTGCCCCACCCCCTCCTGACGTTCCTAGCCTCAAAGGAAATGTGTGCTACAATCACTCCATTCAGGAACCATTAGGACTGGAGAGGAATTAAAGCTTAAAATAACTGCATCGCTCCTGTTTCTCTGGAAAGTCTGTCACTAAAACTGCATGAATGTTTGGTGGACACCATCTTTTTGCACAGAACTCTTGACTGTTGATCAGCCAAATTCTTCTAAAAAAATATGTGTGCGTTGGTTTAAAAAATAGGCCTTTAAAATATAGGCCTAGACAATGAGTTACTCTGTTTTTTGCTTCAAGGGTGTGTGCACAAACATACCCTAACATGACTGATAGATGTCCACTGACAACGCACTCGTCGGTCATGTGAAAGTGGCTGATAAGGGTCTCAACAGTGAAACTTTGCTGACTTCACAGGAACAACCTGCATAGCAGCTATTCAGTGGTGGAGAAATATGCTGTTGTGGCTACAAACTAGAGAATAAAAGTCGTCTGTTATGTGGGGTCCAAGCAAATAAATAAATTCTCACAAATTGGTGAATATGGAGAAAACAGGAGCATTTTGGAAGTATCACGGTGTTCGCAACAGACTGTCTAGTTGCCCTCTGTGGGTTGAAAGACCACAGTACCATATGTGGCCATATGTGATTGACTGTCTGTCTTTAACGGTCCAGCAGGTGGCAGCCTACACAGTTTTTGAACAGACTGCATTTGGGCTCTTGCAGAAGTTTCCAACTGAAGCATGGAATAAAAGCTACAGAACCTACTTAAGGTAAAAAAAAAAAAAAAAGATGTATGTTAAAAATAATAATATAATAGACATTTTGTTTTGAGAAATACACAAATAAGCTGAAAAAAATATAAAATGGAGATACTTTATTTAATGCATACTAACAACATTATGAAGTTCAGTATGTCACAGCTGTCCTATATGGAGTATTATAAGCTGTACATTGTACTTAGTCAGACAACTTTACCTGCACTGTGATAAGATTCTGATAAGAGCTTTGGATGTGTTTGAACTGAGCTCAAAGTTTTCTAATCTAAAAGTAAATGATTCAAAGTTATTTATTTATTTATTTATTTATGATTGTAAACCAGGGACCCCCACCCACACTGTCAGACAACCCAACCTAAATCTAGTATGAAAATGCTATATTTTCTTGGTAACTAGGGCTATCAGTGTCATGGTGAAGAAATGTCCCTTGCGATGATTTGAGTGGCTATCGCAATATGTGATATCTATCTATCTATCTATCTATCTATCTATCTATCTATCTATCTATACACACACACACACGTGTGTCGACACACACTCAAATCTGACTGGACAAGAGGCTTTCCAACAGTGTTATTGACATAAGCAGTTTGAGGACTTGTTCTTGCGCTCATTTTACACAAGCTGTCAGTCAGTGCAGTTACATTATTATGCCAGGAGGTGGCGGAAAGGCACCGTCTTTTAAAAACTGCATCATTCATGATTTAAACAAGATGTTGAAAATAGTTTAACATTAAAGCCACTTTGCAAGGTTCAATCGACGATCAACGCGTTACCTGGGTAATACTGAAACTGATGTTTCACTTCATAGAGAGCAATGCCATAGGCTGTTCAATACATTGAATATCGCAGAGCAGTGATGGGAAATCCCCTTAAATGCTGAAAGGATGCTATTACAAAGATATCGCTTTCATCTTCTGACAACTGATGGCAAACTGACTTTTTTCCACAAATACATGACTTGACCTGAAGAAGGACAGACGCAAGTAATCTTGCGTGCTCAGACAATCTCTCTCTCTCTCTAGATCTACAGAACATATGTACAAATCACAAAGGTCTTAATGACTTATAAAAGCCAGTTGGTGTGAAATATTACTCTATTTACTCTTGTTATGATTATTAACTTTCTGAAAATTCAATACACGTGCACTAAAACAAGACATAACCTCAAAAAAAAGAAAAAGTAGGCTATACTCTGCGATTGGCTTGTCACTAGCGATATTAATATTGTGGTCGCGACAGCCCTATAATAACTCTAATACAATAACAATTGTGCTTCATTTGTGTTGCAGTAATATACATATTTTAATGTACTTTAAGCAAACAGCAAGATGGTAAATTTGATGTTGACAATAACTCCGGTCCAGGGGACCCACTGCTATGCACATTTAATGTCTGTCTTATCTGACACACAAGGCTCAGTTTATGAAGCTGATGATCTGAATCAGGTGCCCAGGACTGGAGTTGAGAGCTACTGCTTTAAAATTTTCAGTATCCACATACAGTATATAAATTTGTACATTTAAAACAACTTAAGAAATCTGCAGTAGCCTATACCCTCTTGGACCCCCAGTAAAAAACAATGGATCCATGGTTCACTGCAAAACCAGTGTGGAGTCATTCAGGTTCCTGGGCACCACAATCTCTCAGGACCTGAAGTGGGGCACTCACATTGACTCTTGACTTGTCAATGTGAGTGTCCCACTTCATTGTGAAATTGTTGAGTTGAGTGTCCCACTTCATTGTTGACTCTGTCATTCTGTTGCACTGTGGAAGCTTCTGTCACGAAAACAAATTCCTCGTATGTGTAAACATACCTGGCAATAAAGCTCATTCTGATTCTGATTCTGATTCTGATCCAAACAAAGAATCCACTTATATTATAACATCTTTATATTTAATTTATACATACTTGTTGTAAGTTTAAAGGAAGAAAGTTCATTTGCAAATATGGAAATCATCTGGAGGTTACTCTATCCATGTTATCTAAATATAGTACTAGTTTCACCATTTTCTTAGCTTTTCTTCTACCAATATATTATAGTTTGCGCTCGATCTGGTCTAATTTACCACTCTAAATCGGATTTGTGCTCGCTGAAGAGTGACACTCAGAGAGGTAACATCAGGATGAGTGAATCATGTGGTCCTCCACACCCTTGAGTCCTTACCCTCCCCAACCATCTTCTCCAATCTATACACTACTACTCAATCTTATTTTTTAAGCGCTCCCAATCACAGAGAGGGGCTGTTTCACAGCGTGTAGGAGCAAGTGATTGAGTGGACTGGGACAGAAAGTTGATTTGCATTCATTTGCAAAAAAAGGAAGCAGGTGACGTGAGGTAATTGGACAGACAGATGATTTACTGAGCGCGAGGATGCGCGCACTGACAGATTCAAGGCGTAATTACTGTGTGTGAGACTTTAAAGAGGCGCGCGCTCGTGTTGCTTTTACGTCGATGAGGTGTAAATGTAAAGCTTGTGTGCATGTGTGAGTCCTGGAGGCGCAGTCAATATATATCTCTCTTATTGAAAACAAACACAAGCTGAGGCGGAACTTGCAGAACTTTTTGCCCCACTAAAGTAGGACATAATGCCTGTTCGACGGGGACACGTTGCGCCTCAGAACACCTTCCTGGACACCATCATTCGGAAATTCGACGGTCAAAGTAAGTGAATGATTTTTGTTTGCTTGCTTGGTTCGTTAAATGAACACTGAATATGTTGTTAAGATGTTTATGATGATGGTGATGATGATTACTGTTCACAATTTTAATAATTCCATTATCGGTATTCGTTTTTTAGACTTTTATGATGATGATGATTATGATTATTATTAATAAATGTTTTTGTATCATTTGAATATGTGATAACTGGGAGAAACTGTCCATTAGTAGTAACTATAAAATTCACAGCATCAATATAGGAGATGGACATTATTTTATTTTTGTCATCTAAATAAACAGAAGTTTGATGTAAATGTATTCACAACACACACACACACACACACACACACACACACACATACATACATATGAAATTAAGTATGTGAGGTTTTTTTCTGTGAAAAGTGTCTTAACAACTGTGACTTTAATAATTACTTAATTTTATTGCATATTACTGTAAGTTTGTCTTTCTTTTAACTGAGGTAAAACAGATTTTAATTGTAGTAATTTATTTAATTTTATTGCATGTTACTGTAAGTTTGTCTTTCTTTTAACTGAGGTAAAACAGATTTTAATTGTAGTAATTTATTTAATTTTATTGCATATTACTGTAAGTTTGTCTTTCTTTTAACTGAGGTAAAAAAAAAAGACATGCTTTCATTCACAACGGCAGCTTGTTTTTTGGTTCTACATGAATGTTATTTATGAATGTCTTGCATCTCTTGCTTTACCTCAACAGATCGCAAATTCATTATCGCCAATGCTCGAGTTGAAAACTGTGCCATTATTTTCTGCAATGATGGTTTTTGTGGCATGTGCGGCTACACACGTGCAGAGGTCATGCAGAAGCCGTGTACCTGCAGTTTTCTGTATGGACCGCATACTGGACGACCAGCGGTGGCCCAGATGGCCAAAGCCTTACTGGGCTCTGAAGAAAGGAAAGTGGAGATCTCCCTATATAGGAAAGATGGTAAGTTTCTGGGGGTGTTTCTTATATTTGTATATTTAAACATTCATTTTGTAGGTGCCATTACAGTGACACTTAAAAAAAAACTGACCTAGAAGCATAACATGACCACAAGCAATTTCATGCACTTGCATTCATTTGATAAATGTTTGTCAGTGACTGGCAACCTTGCACTCATTGTATTTCTTTGGACACACTAATACTTACTTCCTAAACATTATGTTATTCCTTTTCTGCTGAATCCTTCTGTGATATTTGATGTGTCCCTTGATGATTGATCTTGGAGTTTAGCCTCTCTTGTGGCAGTCTCTCTTACCCATGCCATCCTTTATTATGGATACTCAATTGAAAGATGAGGATTACAGTACAAGGGCTATTCTAATTATTTATATTTCTGTCCTCTCCTATTTAAAGATAGCATTTCTGGATGATGTATTGATTTCCAGGACAGCTGGGAGTTTGAGAATAGGAACAATAGTCATAGAAGACATAATTGCAAAGGACAATTTCTCACTATCCAGATCAATTCCCAGTGCTATGTGCTAGTAATCCAAATGGTTGCATAAGGGTGTCATAACATTGTGTCCTCTAGTGGTGCTCAGGACAGAGGACAATGCATACAGTGCGGATTTGAGTCTACGGTACTAACAAGTCAACAACTTATCAACATCCATGAGCAACCAGAAATGCTCCTGTATGACTATTTTAGAATGTGGGGAAGAATGTGCTAACATGTTAACAGAGCGGATAAACATACACATAATCCATCCTAGGGTTTAGGCAGCATGTCCGAGCACAGGGTATTTTTCCACTGATCTGGATGGTAGGAATACTTCTCAGTGTGACCCTTTGTAACCTAACCACCCTAAATTTCTCAGGTGTGCTCAGGCTACATTTAGTCATTCCAAAATATGAGACCTCTCAGTTTTCTGACTTCCTTACACTGTCGTCTGCATTTCAATACAGTATGTCATTGGTAACAATAAAGTTTAGGATATATATGTGTACAATCGTGGTTATTTATTGACTTATGTGGTCTGTGGGTATTGTGTCATTGCAACCTACAAGTCAAATCCATCACCTTATGCCCATCAGTATTGTCATTGGACGGCATGTTCAGTATGTGTATCAGAATACAATAGCA